GTTTGTTAGTCATTCTGTTATCATGATTATTGACATTGCATTTTGTGCGCTCTGTTAATTGAGTAGCTGTTATTGTTTTTTCTGGTGTCTAGTTAATTATTGGAGATATGGGAATTTTATTGTTGGTGCTCTATGAAATAGTATTTTTGCTGCCCTTTTTTTTATTCTTGATATAGCGAATTGATACCTGTATGTAACCAATTGGATTTCATGACGTAGTAACAGAGGTTGATACCTTTGGATTTTTAGGAACCGGTTTTAAAAAGGTTCTTAAAGTGAAAATTAAGAGGTTCATATTCTATTAGGAGTTATTAAACTTAAACTCTTTTTTTCTCAGTTAAGAATCTGTTCAAATTTAAAAAAATGTATTATTATTATTATTTTTTTTAAATATTTTTTGAAAGAGTTATCTTAGATATTAGTTGAAATATTATTTTAAATACCCAAGAGGTTTTAATAATGATTTACTAGACAATAAAACATCTTAAAAGTTAATTGAACTATTTTATAATAACATTTCTATAATATATTTCAAGCAATTAATACAATTTTAAAAACACTTCAATAAGATTTTTACCAACAATAACCAATTGACTAATTTTTTAGTTATTCATGATATTCATTAATACTTAATAACTAGTGGTGTAAAATTACCGTAAAAATCGAGAATAATAACTAGTAAGTTTTTTGTTAATATTCTCTAAAGACAAGAATAATCTTTACGAATAATGTTTTTATTATATTATGCATTATTGTAAAATGGTCCTAAATTAGAGAAGAAATAAAAAATTTACAACTTCCAAATAACTTCAGATAATTCGGTCAAACAAAATTAGAGATATAGTTTGCTTCGAATAAAAGTTAACAAATAATCCAATTTTATTTATTAGAGATTATAAACTCTTTAGTTATATTTAGTAATAACCAAATTTATACTTGACATGTATATTATAGTAATTGATAATTTTTTTTTTTTTTACTTGGAATTTTTAATTGCATCTACACTAAATCATTTTTTTTTTTGAGAAAGTTATTATTTTTAATTTTTGAACAATAAATGAAACATGAAGAAGTCATAAATATACAAATTATTGCTTTTGTTGTAAAATAACTTATTAATACGTCAAAACGTACAAATGAAATTGTCTGTTACGATGTTACTTTGATAAAGATTTGGACAGGATTGCAGTGTTTTTAGTCATTTATTGAGGTATGTCAAATTTGCACATTCAGCCAAAAACAGCATGAATACTTCCGACTAGATGGCAACTTGCTGCAAATGCTATAGTAATNGCCAAAAACAGCATGAATACTTCCGACTAGATGGCAACTTGCTGCAAATGCTATAGTAATTCATTACACAGCCAACTACCGTTACTGCCCTTACTATTTACCTGTAAGTAACTCATCGACTCATTCTTAAAAATCTTGAGATCCAAACTTGAATGATTTAGAAATCATGATTTATATTAGAAAACCATAGAGTCATAATAAAATTACGATAGTTATGACATAATTCTACTCAACAAAACTCATTTAACATCAAAAATTACACTCAAGGTCCCATACTTCCTTGCCTTCAGAAACGACTTCACTACAACTACTAACTCTACAGTATATGGTTAAATAGCTATTCTGGTATACTATAGAATAACTCAACAACCCTAAACACATCCCTCTAGTACACCTGCAGTATCTAATCAAGGTTAACAATTCCGTTGACTGCATTACTGCAATCGACAAACTCTCTAAAGAACAATTAGCAATCATAACAGTTACTATTGACGAGCGTATACTAGTGGTAGGAGATGTTAATGCGAAGCATACACAAATGTGAACCTTGTTATGAAAAAACAGAGTCGATGTCTTCATTGATTCAGAAATAGTTAATATAACACAGAATGTCCTATCAGCCATCGACAGTAGCGTAATTTCGATAAGAAGATTAACCCTAGTTAATGAAATTCTAGACTCCATCCTGATTGAAATATAAAAAAATAACAGAATTCGTCGACTATAACAACAAAGGCGTAACCACAGCATTAGGAAAACTCTCTTATGTTCCACTTTTAAAGAACCTTTTTCTCACACAGAGGCAAGATGACTGGGATGCCTATCTAGATCAACTTAAACACAGTGAAAATCAGTATTCTGTTTACAAACTGAATAAAAAAATTCCTCAAAAATGACCTGCAAGTCTCCAGGCGAAGACAAAGTTTCCAACTCTACATTAAAACTACAATTGAAAAGTATAATCTTTAAATTCACCAAAATAATAAATCGCTGTTTGCAAAACTTCTATTTTTCGTAGCTTTGGAAAGAAACTATAACTAAATTGAAAAGGATCCAACTTACTCACAGAGCTATACTATACATGCAATGCTCTAGTGGAGAACTGTAGGAAAAATAAAAACTTAAATGGAATATTGCGATACCAATATACGAAAATCAAAAATAGGCCCCTAGAGTGGACACATATGCATCATCATAACGATAATGACAACCTAACAGTCTAAACTATTCACTTACTAGTGAACGCAAATCCTAATTTTGTAAATCCTTAAAGCTAGTATGAGAAAATATTTTTGTTAATAATTGTTTTTTTTATTATAAGAAAATTATACTGATTTTATTTTAATTTATATTGGCAACTTGAATTTACTAGATTATAATAAAGTGTATGTATTTAATTTATACAATATACATCCATCATTTGATGAATAAAAAAAGAGTGGTGGTGGTCCTGAAAAGGACCGTTTTAAAGATTTTATTTTGTTTATCAGTTAACTCATTTCTTTTTTGGCGCTGTAGTTTTCTTCACAGGTGATTTTTTCACTTTTGGTTCTTTCACTTGCGATACTGTTGATTTTTTCGTCTTTGTAGGAGTTTTCTTAGCTTTCACTCCTGTAAGCTTTGGCTTAGCTGCGACTGCCTTTTTCGCTTTCTTAGCAACGGGTTCATCAGCAGTTTTGGCTTTCTTAGCTGCTGGATTCTTCTTTTGTTCTGTACCAGAAGACGACGACTTAGCTGCTGTTTTCTTAGTAGCAGGCTTTTTCTTTGGTGAAACAGGCTTCTTTTTCTTCTCTGTAACTACAGCAGCTAACTTAAAAAGACCTGAAGCTCCAGTTCCTTTAGGCTGAGTTAATTGGCCATTGACGACAGCAGATTTTAAAAATTTCCTAATGAATGGTGCTAATTTAGTTGCGTCAACTTTGTAATTAGCTGTCAGATACTTTTTTATAGCTTGAAGTGAAGATCCCTTTTTCTCCTTCAACTCTTTAATGGCAGTCATAACCATCACAGCAGTTGGTGGATGAGATGCGGTTGGATTCTTAGCTTTCTTAGATGGAGATTTCTTCTTAGTAGACGGTAAATTAGCTGAAGCTGACGAGGAAGCGGAAGTTGCTGCAGGAACATCTGTCATTGTACTAATGAGATTTAAACTTTATTATCTGAATACTGAACTACTTATAATAATTTCGCTCATTCCGAGCGGTATAATATAAGAAATGCCGTACCGACTAGTAAACAACCAAAAAACCAGGTTATGCTTTCTGTGTAGTTCGTTATCGTTATTTTTTTATTAATTCTCAAAATACGTAATCAATAATTACAAATAATATTTTATCTGACTACTAATGTAATTATCTTTAATATAAAACTTATAATTCTACCAAAAACTGAATAATTAAATTAATGTAAGTACATATTTCTGCATAATCGATTGCATTTAGGTACATCTATTTAAAGGGAGTGTAAAAATATAAATTTTAATGAAAGATGAAAAGTGAACAAAAAAACATAATCTACCCGTATTTTTCATTTCTATACATTTTGATGCACAATCCTTGTTAACATAATAAAATTTTCATAATATTTCGAATTAAGAGTCATAGAGGTTATTTTACAGTAGTGTTGTGTTTTACTAGTTTTATTTTCAAATTATTTGACAATTCTTTTTATATTAAAAAAAAATTTCTAAAAAATTAATTTTATTTTTTTCAAAAGATTATTAACCTAATAAAAAACATCCACTGTAACTTTTTTACAGCATAAACTTATAAGACTAATAATAATAGATACGGAAAATTTAATTTTTAAAGAATTAATTATTTAAATATTTTAATTAAAATACAATAACTCCAATTAAATAAAATATTATATTTTTCTTTGTGTAATCTATGTATTCAATTGGTCATCTGTATCTAACTATCATGTAGTCGTACAGTGGTACAAGCTACAAACAACTTGGATTTTAAATTATAGAATTTATATTATAGATTGATATTATTAAATAATAACATTTGATGAATTATTAATTCTACAATGTATTTTTTGACACTAGTTCATTCAATGAGCATATAGTAAATTTAACTTTTTTCACAAGCTAAATAAAACAATTTAAAATATTCAATTTTATTAAAAAAAATATATTTTCATAAATAATTGTACATAAATACAATTATCAATAAACTCTTCGCTCAAATAATATTATTATACTTTTAGCTATGAAATTTTATAATTTTAATCACTCATATTAATTGGCCCATTTTGGCCGACCCCAAATAGTTGGGATTAAGACGAGGAAGAAGAAAAAGTATCACTCATATTGATTAATATATTTCTGTGTAAGTATAAACACAGATTTTCTTATTTTCTAAAACATCAAATAATGGGTTTATTGGGTTTAGGAACTAATATAATAGTCGAGAATTTTCATAATAGAAGGAAATAAGAAAGTTTAATGATTGCATTAAATATAAGTTAAATGAATAATAGCTTTTTTGGAAGGCATTTTGCAACCTCAGCCGTTATAAGGTCAAAACCAGGTGAATTTTTGAAAGGATATCTAGCAATAGTGAATTTTACATAATTTGGTGTAATGCATTTAACTGAAAGATAGAGTGGTAACGGTGCGTCGAGGTATGTCATTACAGAACTAGTCATTTCAGGTGAGTGTATATTCAGATGAGGTTTAAAAGTATCAGCTAGATGTTCTTTGAATAACTCTGTCTTTTCCAACTCAGAGATAGCTAGACTGCCGATAGTATTTTTAATTGGGAGATTAATTGTATTATATCTAAGAGCTTGTTTGGTAGCTCTCTACAGGCTACTATCCTTAGATGTTAAGCTACATAAATAATTTTTATAGGAGTTGGTTTTGTATTGAGCAAGTATTTTTTTAAGTTTATTTGCTAACTTATTATATAAGTGTTTATGTGACGTTAGTCTAGTGCGTTGGAATAAAGCTCTAGCTCTACGTTTGTCAGAAATTAATTTTTTAATTAGCTCTGGTAGAACAACTGTTTTGGGATGGTGTTATGTCTTCAGTAGCCACCCAATAAGCTATTTGAATGATATTAGTGAGATTTTTTACAGCCTTATCTATGTCCTCAGTATTTTTAAGTTTTGAGCTTAGTTTAATTTTCTGATTAACAAGATTATGAAACATATATCGATCTGTGTTTACTTGAAATAACTTGGGATGACTTAGATGAGTTTGCGGAGTTGAATTAATAGTAAGTAGAACTGATGAACGATCAAAATTGAGCTCAAGGATATTGTCTATAGTGTAATTTAACTTATACGGTATTTTCGCTATAAAAATTTCAAGTATGTCTGGATTTTTACGAAGGAACGAAGGCCAATATGTTGGACCAGGAGGAGCAAGAATGTTTTATTTTTTTAATGATACAAAATCACGTAGAACAAAACCACGGGGGTTATTTGAGCAACAGCCCCAAATTTGGTGTTTGGCATTGAAGTCGCCACCGACAATGAAATTACCTTTCAAAGTGTTAAAATAGTTGTTGAAAATCATGTTCGTGACCTTATGTTTGGGAAGAGAGTATAATTCAGCAATAGTAAATGAAGTATTTTAAAGTTTTAAGGATATGGAACAGAATTATATATAGTCTTGGAATTAATTGGGAAGAGGTATGAATGGAATAGAAGATTTAATAAAAATAGCTAATCCTTCATAAGCAGTATTGTCTGGATGGTTGCATTTTAATCATTTATAACCAGGGATGAAAAAATTTGAGTATTCTGTTATAAGTACAATGTCTATGCGTTTAGTATGAAGGATAGCTTGTAGTTCATTAATGTGGTTTTTTAAGCCATTAGTATTAAACTTAAGGATTAGTAATGAATTGTTTGTAAAGGACTGACTAGTCATTTTTCTTGTCGAGATAACTTTTGTTAGGAGAGATATAAGGGGATTGATTAGAGACTTAAGGTGGAGGATTTTGATTATTAGTAATATTGGAAGTAATTTGAGCATGGAGATGTGTGGTTAATATTAGGGAAATTTTTTAATGAGTGGTTGTCTTTTTGTACATTGAAGTTCTTATTTTCAAGATTATCATATAAAGTTACTTTTATGTGTAGATTTTTTTCGTTGTTGAAAACCTCTGTAAATTGAACACCCTTTGTAATTGGCTGAGTGGCTACTTGAGCATAGTGCGTATTTTGGAGGTTGTTTACGAAGTTTTGAGCAGTTAGATGACAGATGATTGGCTCCATAATGCACACATCTCGGCGGGTAACCACAGTAGGCTTTTGCGTGTCCATAGTCTTGACAATTTATACATTGGCTTATTGTTTTGGGTTTGTACGGCTCTTCAACTTAAATCTTAGTATATAATAAGGAGGATAAGTCATATATTTCTTTCGATTTATCATTTGGTTCTAAGTCAACAAAGAAGAGTGGTAAGGGATTTTAACCAATTTTATGAATAACGTTGGTTACTTGCCTAACTTCGAAAAGTCTAATTTCAAGCTCATTTTTTACTGTTTCCACCGAAGTTGTAGGATGTAAATTACGGATTACTACGCATAAAGGCTTGTCTTCTTTTAACTGGTAAGAATGAAATTCTGTTTTCTGTTGATTTACATATGAAATCGTCCACTCCTATCAATTCAATAAGAACCGTACAAAGATCAGTGAAGTTGTCAACACCTTTTATGAAAATAGAGAAAGGGATTTTGATTAGTTGCTCCGAATTATTTTCAGGGGAGTCCTGATTATGTGTGATTTCAAGTATTTCATAGCGGTTTGTAGAGTGAAATAGTTCAATAATTTTTTTGCTTGAAGTGATTGGGCGAAGCGAACCAGGATTTGAATTTGAAGAAGTAGAATGATGTCTTTTATTGGGAATCTTTTTCCAGCCATCAGCAGTATTATTCAACGTAATCGGCGAGAGCTGATTATTTGTGTTATTATTACGGTTAACTTGATTATCAACTTTGTTGGTAGTTATAGACATGACGGCGACGGTATTTTAGATAAAAGGCCGTCGTGCAACAGCCCAACAACAGTATTATAGGCAATGACGTGTGGAAAACTGCTTTACGTTTTAACTGTTTAAATAATACAACAGTTTTTTCGATTTCTTAACTTACGTTTTCGTTTTTTGTGTGCAATTCATAGAATAGACAATCTGCGGGACAATACTGTTAAATTTTCACAATTTAAACTTAATTAGATTAGTATACCACTATAACGGAAGAAAAAAAAAACTGAGCGTAAAAATACCCGTGTATTCAACGACTGCAATCGCGCAACATGGGATAATACAATTTAATTGAATTATCATTGAACAATTAATTATTATACTATAACAAGTTATAGTAATTAAAAATTATAATATATACGAATTAAGCACATTATACTATTGAGTATAGATAGTATTTAGATTCATAGATACTATCTATATTCGATGGTAATACTAAACATTTAAAATATTTAATGCAAGTGTAGTTTCTTTGTACTCATAGGTGTTAAATACATTTTTTTTCTCCCAAAAATTACTTTATACAGCACTAAATATTTTTTTTGGTGGTCAATTTTAAATTTGAAAACTAAGCTTCATAAGATCTTTACTTGAATTTAAAACTGGTTTTATTATATACATTGTATTAAAAATAGTATCTTAAACAGTGGAGTACGCAAAATTTTTTCATGCGACTGTCACAATATAAATTATTTAATCGCTTTTTTCTTAACGTCATCTAATGAAATGCTTTCTTCTTAGTTTAATAATGTATAGTAGATAATAATGATAACAATAGTATTCTAATTTATGGAAATAGATGTTTGTTAAACCTGTATAAAACAGATTTAATTTATGTCTACAACTTTAAAAAACTATCTTCATGCACATTCACATTAAATTATTTTATGATAGTGATGTGATTGACATCACTGCTGTCTAAGTCAAATTTTTACTAGTTTAAATTATTTCATGTACTCATTATGCTGGGTTCAGACTTAATTGAGGTTTTTTTTGAGGAAAAATAGAAAAATGTTTATCCAAAAAACTTATTATTTATTTATTGAATATTAATAATTATTTTGTTAAAATACTTTATAAAAAAGAAAAAACTTAGGTTATAGAATACAAGTTAATTGAAAATATATTTTTTTACAAAAATACCAATCATTAAAAATAAATTATGTTGAAATATTTTATTGTATTCAAGATTTGATACTTCTATAAATTAATTAATGCATAATACAACATGTATCAGTCTTCACTAGTTTAAATCGGATTTCAAATTAAAATAACATAAATTAATAATATGATGCATAAACAGTTCTAAAATTATGATTCAGTGTTGTAGATGATCTAAAAATAAAAAATATTTATAGTTGAAAATATATTGATATTATTTTGTTAATTAAAATAGTATTCATACCTATGTATATCTTTAATAAATTCTAGAAGTTTCATAAAACCAATTAACAAATCATCTGATCCATCTCCAATTGACTGTTGTGATCTAATATCAACTAAAGTAATTTTTCTTTCCTCTAAGTCTTTACTGATGGTTCTGTATAGAAGTAAACTCTAAAATATTTAACATATAATAGTTAAACTTAGATTTATTCAAAAGAAAATGATTTAGATATAATAATTAATTTAATTACCATATTTTTAGCAATGTCAGAAATTTCATTTAAATATTTATGATTATCATTATTTTGTAATGTTTTCATTAAGAGTTGACTCGTAAAAATATAAATGCATAATTCTAGGGCATTATTTAAATTTGTAACATCAACATCTAATACATAACGTTCGTTTAAAGCCGATATTAAAGATGTTGATATTGTCCCATGCTAAAATAATAGACAATGTTATTTTTTTTAGAACTATGATTCTTAATACTTCTTTTAATTGTATTCTTACACGAGTAATTTTATCAGAAATAAATACTACTATATTTACAAGTTCTTCAATGGTACAAAATGTACTAAATTTTTGGTCTAAAATTACTTCATCGCACATTATGTTTTTAAATAGTACAGCATCAGTTTTACCTAACTGTAGTAATGATACAATTTCATATGGCGGAACCATGATTCTAGCAAGAATTGCATTACAACAATATAACATTTCAAATAATCTGAAATAACAAAAATTTATTTAGGATTTGAAGAAGAAAAAAAAACAGTAAATTGATTACATTTTTCTTGTTTCATTAATCATCTTTAAATCTTGCCCAGAAAAAATATCTCCTCTCGTTTTCCATCCTGTTAAATTTAATTGTACTTTTTCTTTTTTAAACATACTCATTATAAGTTTGTCAGGATCATTTAATTGTGTGTAAGATCCATAGGCACATTCCCAAATACTTATCTAAATTACAAAATATATATATTAAATGAATAAGACTATATCTTAGTTAAACAATATCCGATTTTCAAAATATATTAAATATACATTATTCTAGGAAAATTATTTCGGGATATAAGAAATTTTTTTTTAGAACTCCATGAATGTTTTAAAATGTTGGTAAAAACACTCATTACCATCAGAAATTTTTACCAGGCTTGCCCAGGGATATTTTAAAAATACACTGAAAATTTTGTTAAAATCCATAATTTTTTTACCAAATAAAAAATTTTTTTTTTTTGAAATTCAAGGTTTGCATTGCATAAAATTCTTGTGCTACTAAACTACATGAAAACAATTTTTTCTGTTTTGCTCATATATATACAAAATGGCACAGCATTCATTGACTACTTAAATAACTTTTGATCCAGTTAATTTTTTTTTAATAATTATACTCGAGGGCTATAATAATAATAACTTATTTAAAATCATTTTTATAATTAAATAAAGACATATTTAATTTTAAAAATTTATGAAAAATGTTTAAAAAAATTTCAAAATAGCCATTTTTTAGAATAAATTTTAAAAAATAATTTGGTAAAAAAATTTTTTATTAATGTTTGTTAGTTAATTTTCTGTAACATTTTAAATTTTGTAAAAATTTGAATTTTTCTACGGTATTAAAATTTGGCTATGTTTTAGAAAAGGACAGAAGTAAACACAATTCCTTGAAAATTATTAACATTCCAATATACGGCTAGTTCAAATAAAAACACGAACAATACCCATTATTTAATAAGTAGTTTTCTCTCTATAAAGATAATACTACTTCTAACTAAATTATAGTTTATTTATCACGAGTCAGGATTGGTATTATACTAAGTATATAGTGTATTATATTTACAAACTTGGTATTAATACGATAATTTGATAGGTCAATTATCAAATAATTTATGAAATAGTACACTGCATTGGACTAACTTTAAATATTTTCTTTCTCTTATATCTAATGGAATTGAAGTCTAAATTAGTAAACCAATTAAATAACTTTTCTTGTATTTTTGTATAATTTAAATACTGCAGACACTTTTGGATTAATTTATTTATTCTGTGGTAGTACTTGTATTATTATTCAACACTCTTTCAAGCGTAATTCATTTTCATTGAAAAAGTGACACACCTCCAACTTATAGGATGCATGAAAAGATAATGTTTTCTTCTATCCTTGTCTTAACACGTATTTCAATGTTTAATACCGTAAAATAATACATGAAAATTCAAATTTTCACAAATTTTAAAACGATACAGACTATTTATTACTGAATATTAATAAGATATTTTTTTACCAAATTCTTTCTTAAAATCTACTCTACAAAATAGCTATCTTGAATTTTTTTTTTTTATATTTTATTTAAAATTTAAAAATAATTAATATTTTTAATAAAATGTAAAAATATAAATTATTGAGATATAATTCTAGACCTAAACGTATAACTATTATTTAAAAAAAAACCAGGAAAAAATATTAAATAGATCAAAAATTATTTAAGTTGTCAGTGAATGCTGGGTCATATATATATATATATATATATATATATATATATAAACACACAAATGTAAGTAAAATAATTTTTTTCATTTTAAATACTGTATTTTAAGGATAGTAAAGTTTTTTTTTTGCATACCATTGTTATAATATCAATTAGTTAGTTATTATGTTACAGGATATGTTTTTCTAAACATCTGTATTTAAAATTAAATTAATAAGATATAATATTAATTGATACATTTTTAATTTACTTACAATACATTTTTCTAAGGCAATAAAACAAGAGCCACCAAGTGATTTCCAATGAAAATAATAACTTTTAGACACCATAAGATCCATTAGTTTAATTACTGATTGTACTAGACTTAAATGTAAAGTGGATAACTTCATACTATTTGGCTAAAAAAATAAAACATTTAATTTAATTCAGTTTTTCTTCTTTTCAAATATACCTACAAAATTTAAAATAGTAGCCAGATCATTGTAAATGGTAGTCAGGTATTTAATCGCTTCTTTTTTTACACAATCATCACAATTAATTAAAAAATTTGTTAATATTTTATAATAGTTTGAATAAACTTCCATTCTTTTAAAATCATCATATTTTGTTTCAACACCATTCTAATAAAAATATAAAAGTCATATTACGTTTTAAGTTTATTATTTTTATTCATTTTTACTTACAAAATCTGATGTGATAGATTTAGCAGACAATAGAGTACATAGTTGTTTTATGATTGCTGGTTGAGTACCAAACTGTGAATGAAATTCTTTGAAAGTTGACAAATATAGCAAGAAGTCTGTTACTTCTACAGTTATACTATTGACATTATTATCCTATGTAAAAAAAATATATGGATTCTAGTAAATTTAATATATATTACTTGTTCAATGATTAAAAAAATCATTAACTTACTCTGTAATTTTTCTCAGTATGAGAAAACATCTGCACAATAGCATTAGTTAATAAATATGATTTATGCCAATTTGAAGATTTTATTACAGCTGGTATACTTTTGTAAAATAGAGCATTCACCAATCTTAAATTTATGAGATAAGAGTGATAATCATGATTATTTTCTTCAATACAATTTAAATGTTGTTCAGTAAGTTCACAAATTTCACTATAAATTTCATTTAACAAATCCTCTATAACAAATTTTAAATTCAAAATGTTTATTTTCATTATTAAATCTTAAAAAATGATCAATACCTTCTTCGTCATTATTCAGTGTTATATCAGAAAAAATAATGCTTGTGATCTCATTTACTACAATTAATACAGTTGTTTTTGAAGGTTGATTTTTAATTAATGTTTCATTTTTGTTTACTAATCTTAAGATAGTTTTAATATTAATATAACTAGTCTTATTTTTTTGAACACAATTTCTATATATTATTAAACAAATTATATATATATATATATATATGTATGAAATATAATGTATTATAATGTTTTTTAAAAATGATAAAATAGATATATGTAACTTACTTTTTCCACATCTGCAACATAATAAGTAAACATTCTCCAAGGCTGGTTATTAAACTTAAATCTTCACTTTTCAACTCCATAATGAACATTTTTAAAACATTTTCAACTACTTGATATTTATCACTTACAACATTATTTTTATTTTTTAAAACAAGAAGTGTAAAAAATTTCCATGAATATAATAACTTTCTTTTAATATCATTTGCTTCTTCGGTTTTATTTTCATCAAAATATAGTAAAAAACTCTAGAAAATTAAAAAAATAAAAAATTTGTAAGCATTTATAAAGTGTTATACAAGACACTTTATTCAGAGGGATTTAAAATTTGATAAATTGTAATTTCTCAGTGTAAATAATTAATGGAACCTTACTTAATATTGCTATTTCTCAAAAATTGTCTATGACTTTTAAATCTTTTAAAACAATCAAAATTAACTTTATTTATACTTTGGTCAACTATATGAGTTAATAACTATTTTTTTGTCAAATAAAACATGTTTTTTAGTTAGTGTAATTATTTACAATATAAATAATTAATAACAACCATATTATACAATTATATACATTTTTTGTATACAAAAAGTTTGATAACATCAGCGTTTTGAAACTTAAGGTCTGAAATTTTCACCAGACTTGCTCATAGACATTTCTGAGATATTTTAAAGAAAAATTTAAATCTTTTATATTTAACCAATTTTTTAAGCTGTTTCTCTTTTCATGTCCCTTCTTTTAGTATTCATACACTAAATACATTTTATATAAACACTAAATTAACTAATTATGCAAGCAATACTGCCATTAATTGACTTATGAAAACTATTAATTATATTTAAGTAAATCTATTCACCTTACCAAGTTTTCACTCATTTAAATTTATATTGATTTTATATTTTTTAATAATTCTTAGTTTACAACACTATTACTTTTTTTGTTATTTTACATACATTGTATTTATTACTTATCATTTAATGTTAATGAACAATTTAAAAATATATTTATGTAATTAGGACTGGTACGTTTTAAAATTTAAATAAGTAAAAATAGTTTAATCCCACAATGAGTATTATAAATATAATGATATTGCTTCACAACATAATTTTATTGATATTGTTCATACCAAAGAAAGTTATAAAAATATCAACCTTATATCCAATTCATTTTACTTAGTACTTTTTTTGAAATTTACAATTATTACATTTTTATTATATTGATTCTGAAGTAATACTTTTTCTGCAAAATACTTTTGATATTGTATGTTATGTGAATATCATATACTTGATAAATAAAAAAAATTTATTTATCAAATATATTTAATATATTTCCACTTACTTTAAGCATACTATTAAGTCTAGTTTTCAAAAATATATCCAATTGCTCAGAAAATTCGTTTTTATTTTCAATTGAGCAACTGTGGGCTTGTAGCGATAAAATTGAAATTATTTCTGAATTAATTTCAGGAATCATTCTGAAAGAAAGTATGCCATTAACTTAAAGTATAATTTTACATAGACCTTAAATAATTATTTCCTAATAGTTATACTGAATTAATAAAATTCCATTTAAAATATATAATTTTTAATACTTAGGTTTAAAGTTTTATTTACTTATTATGAAATAAGGGTTTAAAAATTAATTTCCAAAAACTATTGTTTTGTTCCAAATAATTCATAGCAAGATTAAATCTATTGTACCACAATGTATGAATAATCCCCAATGTTTCAAGGTACACATGATTTTCCTGTTCTTGTTTAAAATCCTATAATATTAAAAAAAAATTTCAAATAAAACATATTTTTGGAGTTTTAAATTCATTTAAAAATAAATAAATAATATACATCTGTTTCAAGTTCTAATTCAATAAACCACAAAATGCTGTCATCATTGTTTTCAATACGTTTCTTATTCTTAATACATTGTTCAAGGAGTTCAACATTTAAAATTATTTCAAACATTTTGCATTGATATGAAATGGCATTATGTAAAAATCTCAACATTTTTACCTAAACATTAATGCAAAAAAATATTAATTATTAAATTTATTTTAATTATTTTGAATTAAAAATTTAAATTATTATAACTGAAATTTCATTCTATTATTTTTAAAGTATTATATAATTGATGAAAGTCTAAGTTGGTGCATAATAATAATTTTTAATATTTGTAATAAAATGAAATTTTTTTTCAAATAAATTACATTAACATTTATAAATTAGATGGTAGACTATCATCTAACATACTATTAACTACAAATACTCATACAATATTAACAGAATGTAAACGATGTAACTTCAAATATGACAACATTTCTTTCCTTGCTCTCTTGTCATTATCAAATCCCATTGAAAGACTAAATGAAACAAACCGCTTCTGAAATATAAATTAAAATTTAATTTATTATTATTTTGGACAAAATTTTAATAGTTGTTACTTCAGCTAAAGTTCCAAGAATAGTAAGTGATAATACATTTAACTTATTATGAAAAACTGTCAAGCGGTAAGACAACAAATTAGACAATCTTCTTTCTGGATCAAACATTGCTATATTTTTTTCTTGTTTAACTTCAGTCTAAAAAAAAAAATGATATAAAAAGCTTAAAGATGAACAAGCAAACAATCTAATGTACATCAAGAGAGAAAATTTAGTAGAATTATATAGAGTAAAATATTAATCATAGTAATATTATGAAAATAAATTATAAATTATTATTAATGTAACATGTAATAGAAAAAATAATAAACATACAATTTGTTTAGAATTTATTATATAATTTAGCAAAGATAACGCAAATATGAGACTTTGGATATTTCTTTTACCAATGCCACTTGTCCAACTATGGTAATTGTGCATAACTTTTATAAAATCTTTTTCACCTAGAATAAAAAAAGTAAAATATTTTTTCTCAACAAATTTTTTGATTTTACATATACAGAATGATTCATATATAATAAACCACTTAATTGATCTTATATATAATTTATTTTATTTTTCTATGAATTAAGGGGTTTATTATATGTGAATCATTCTATATATATATATATAGAATGTGTCAAAAGAAATTGATCATTAACATTTTAATGAGAATTCTTTAAACTTTATTATATATATTAAAATAGACATTCTATGAAAATTTGAGATTTTTAAAAAAAAAATTTATTAGTTACTCAACTTGATTTTAGTATTTTTATCATAAATACCCCCCCCCCCC